CAAACCAGACTAATAGTATCTTGCTTTTTTTTTTTCTTTCCATATTTTGAGGACACTGGGTGATTGGATACTGTGATTTATACTATAATCCAGTATTTATTTTCCTTGATGCCTTTTTTTTTTTTTTTTTTTTAAAGACGGTTCACCATGTTGGTCAGGCTGGTCTTGAACTCCCGACCTCAAGTGATCCACCCTCCTTGGCCTCCAAAGTACTTGTATTACAGGCATGACCCACCATGCCCAGCTCCTTGATGCCTTTGATTCGTTTATTCTTAGTTCACTAGTTAACAATCTCCAACAGTTTTAGCTTTATTTTCTGCTTTTCTCTAGTGTTAAAGCCTAATCAGAAAAAAAAAGCATATTTCTTTATTTTTAGTTATGTTATTTGCATCATATGAAATTATCTTTTTTGTAGGTCTGAAATAAATAGTGGAAATTTCATATGGTCCAACCAGAAAATTTTTATATCAGCAGGATTTTATCTTAAACCATCCTTGCAACTCATTTCAAATAATTCTAATCCCTCAAACTGCCCTGTCCCCTCCACCAGTTTAATTTCTGGTTTTTGTTTTGTTTTTTAAATTGTTTGATACTGTTTTCTCTAGAGGAAAGGTCTAAATAATACCAATTCAACATACCCTCCAAATAAACCATTAAAGTTAATGCAATAATATGAAAACATCTAGATTTCCTTCATTGACTCACCTTTTAATTCATTCAACAATTCTTATTTTATTTATTTTTTGAGATGGAGTCTTGCTCTGTCACCCAGGCTGGAGTGCAATGGTGCAATTTCGGCTCACTGCAACCTCTGCCTCCTGGGTTCAAATGATTGTCCTGCCTCTGCCTCCTGAGTAGCTGGAACTACAGTTGCTTGCCACCACGCACAGTTAATTTTTTGCATTTTTTTAGTGGAGATGGGGTTTCACTACGTCGGCCAGGCTGGTCTCAAGTTCCTGATCTCAGGTGATCCACCCGCCTTGGCCTCCCAAAGTGCATTCAACAATTCTTATTGATACTTATTGCACATTGACTCTGCTCCAGGTACGTGCTAACTGCTGGGTAGAGCTGTGAGCATGAAGGGGCGTCTTTGTTTTCAGCAAACTTAAAGTTGTTTTTTAGACCGGAAGACAGACTATGTATATGCATTGACTAAAGCAATCATTTGGTTTCGATTAACAGGTAAGTGACCAGTTTAGTTTTTTTTAGCCAAATTAAATGTTTGTTCAAATTGACTAACACCATCACTTTAGTGTGAATAAAAATTAGCTTTGGCCCAAGCAGAGCTAAGAAACTTATTTTGAACTATTTCCAGTATTTATTAAATCAATTAGCTGACCTATGTAAGGTCCTAAGCCTTAGATAAATAAGGCTTGAGAGAAAGGGATTCCCAAAGCATGTGTTTGGACAACTCTAATCTAAGAGAGTTCCCTCAGGGCATCTGGACCCTTCTAAATAATGCACAAGACACAATGCTGGGTGACTTTTGACTGGAAAAGTCTATATCCAATAACAATTAAATCAATTTTTTTAAAGAACAAAAGCAAAAAAAAGAAAAACGAAGAATTTAAAAATGAATACAGCAGTGTTATTCACCTAAGCCAGAGCCCCCCAGGACCGTTTCTTGGGGGTGCTTAGCAGCAGCAGATGTGCTATCTAGGCTAATAAGCCTGAGAAATGCTAAAATAGGAAAATTAAATAGCTCATTTGGGTGAGCAGAGCTAGGTGATTGGAAGGCCAAACAGTCTGATGGTAAAAATACCATTGATGAAAAATGTGCGCTGGTATCACTTACAAGCTTGCTTCACGTTCACCTCCAAGCAATTTCAGCAAAGATTTAGTGTTCAAGAAGTTTGCATTTAGATACTCGGCCGCCCCTCACCCACACTAGCCCTTTGGGTCAAAACCTAGGTGGCCACCCCAACCAATGATGACTGGGTGGATTTTGTTTCCAATTCCTTTCTTAGTTTCTGATTCCTTTCAAAGTGAGACTTTGAAAAACTTTTTTCTATTAGCCTTATCTAAAATAGCTAAAATCTCAGTCTCCACAGAGGAAGAGTAAATGGCACCAAGAAGCAAAAAAACCCAGCCAATGTGTAGTTTTCTCCCCTGCCCCCCATTTGAGAAAATGGGGCACAGCCCCCATCTTGTATATATGTTTTTTCAGACGTATTTTTACTTCAGAAGAATAGTCTCCTACAGAGTAAGTATCTTTAAAAAATGAAAATGGTGGACGTAATAGTCATCTTATGACCAGCCAGGGCTCTGCTCTTTGTTCCCCATCGGGCCTGCCCCTGGGATCACTGCTGTTTCTGTGCTGGTAGGGGTGTGCCCAGAAGTCAGAAAGAGGGCTGAGGTGGATTTCAGCAGCTGGAGAGAATGCCCAGTGCTGCTTTACGATGCAGTGACCGCAAATTAAGAATCCCAGCCGTGGGTTTCCATCTCCTGCTTTTGGGTTTTGAAAACAAGAAGACTGTCCAAGATGTAATAACAGTAGTAGTCAATACAATTTTTTTTTTATTGGCTGTCTACTACATATTGGGCACATTGCATTACTTCTCATCTTCATGTCTCTGCAAAGAAGGTATTATAATTCTTTCTTTAGAGGTGAGAAAACTGAGGCTCAGAGAGGTTAAGTAACTTTCCTAAGGTTGCACAGCTAGGAAACAGCAGTGCTGGGACACCACCTATTAGCCGGGCTCGCTCCACCTCATCCAGTCACCTTCCTAAAAGCAGAGCCGCTCACAAGCCTGAAAGCCTTGCATTTCCCAAGGCTGCCTGTTAGAGCTGCATCTCCGCACTGATAAAAGACAAAGGCCATGCCGGGTGTAAGCTTGGCTTCTGCAGAGGAGGGAGTTAGGGGCACTGAGGGCGCTGGAGGAAAAAGTGTGCCCATGCCACTGGGCACACCATCTTAGGTTCTTCCAGCCCCAAGCCCTGGTGACCGTCTTGGTAGATTCTCTCTCAGGGAGGCCTCCTCATTTGGACAGACCAGGTCATCATTTGCTTTGATCCTGATAATCTGGGCATTTCCAAAGAAATGCAAATATAACAGCTTAGTAAAAAGTAGACATTTTAAAGAGTAAAGCGTAAGCGATGTGTCACTTAACTGAGCAAGAAGAGGCAGAAGACCTGCCTGAAATTCTGTGAGCAGCCTTTCCCCGGGGGAGACTGCGGAGGTGCCCCTCGGGCAGCACAAGCACCATCGCAGCCCTCAGTGTCCACGCCTCTCTGAGTCCCGCCTTGCCTTACCGTACCTCGTTTCTGGGCTAGGACACTTGGAGAAACTTGTGTCTGTTCGCCTTATCTAAAATAGCTAAAATGTCAGTCTCCACAGAGGCAAAGTAAGTGGCACTGAGAAGCAAAAAATCCAGCCGATGTACGGTGTCTCCTCCTGCCCCCGTTTGTGGAAATGGGCCACGGCCCGCATCTTGTCTGCTGGGTGGGGTTCTGTTTACCACACTAGGCAGCCACCGTTACCCAGCAGCCTTTCATTTTTCTCTCTAACTTCACTTTGCCCCTACCTTGGTTTCTCCAAGCTGAACACAAACGGACTAGTGAGGAAACTGCAGATAAAGACCCTGAAACATGACATGATCTCCCTGGTGCGGTGTCACAAGCCTGAAGCCCAGAGCTGGAATTATTACCCCGGCCATCTCCCCTGAAGTCACTAAATTCCAGCTGTTCTGGGTCCCCTTGTCCCCAGCACACAAGCGTGGGCTGCTCTGAGCGAGCTCGGGCACCCTCACCCCACCGCACCGTGTGTGTGACTCAGACCTCACAAGGCTCTTCTGAGAAAACAGCTGTGATCTGGTAGAAACCCCTGCGGCTGCACAGGCCTCAGAAGACCCGGGGCGCTGGCCGGGGCTGTGCCCCGCTCCCTGGTGGGAGCAGAAGTGCCCATGGCTTCTCACGACCTCCCAACAGGGCCCCCGAACAAACTCCCATGCCGAGCCCGGTCAGGTGGGCTGAGGACATTTGCTTGTTCCATCTTCCCTGTTTCTTTAAACCGAAATTCAGCTGGGCCCGCTTCCCAGGAAGATGCCACAAGGCCAATGCCCCTGAGCAGTTTGTCTAGTCCTCTTCTCACCGCTTTTCTTCCTCATTACCTGGGCTAGACATGATGGTGGAAGCCAAAGGCTTGCAGCAAAGCCAGGCTCCCACCAACGGGAATGAGGTGAGGAGGGAGCCCGCTTGTTGGCCGGGCGCTGCTTGTGGTGGTGACTTAACCAGGCACATCCTCTCATCTGCCCATGTTCTGCCAACGCCTGGCCCTCTGGCTGGGCTAGAAGGCCACCTGAGGGGCGGGTTGGGGTGAGTCATGGAGCCTGGGATGCTGCGTCACCCGCATCACCCAGCAGCCCCAGGCGGTGGGGCGGGGGACAGCCATGACAGGGCTGAGTCTAGACACGGACCCTTGGCCGTGAGGCTGCCCCCAGGTGCTTCCTGCCCGTGCCCCTTTCCTCCCTGACCGCCCCCACTCAGTCTCTGGCCCACTAGGGTGTTTCAGGCCATGACCCTGACTGACCAGTGAAACCTTCTTTATTGGCAAAGGAAGAAAGAAAGGGGCTGAGTGACGGAGCCAGCCAGAGGGTGAAAGAAGCCGCAGAGGTTAGAACGTCGCAGTGCGAAACACGGCCTGCCTGACATTTTCCGATCCTGTCCAGCTTCCGTGAAATACTCCTCTCCGTTTCTCCACCCTGGGCCTGCCTTGATTGCTCTCTTGCTTCCTTCTTTCTTCCTCTCTTATCACGGGGACAATCTGTACCTGGAGGAGCTGCATTTTCTAGAAGCTGGCTCTGAACTCATGCCCAACTCCGCCGTGCCAGAGCAGATGCCAGCACCTGGCCAGACCCCTCACTGCTCACTGGCCCATTGATTTGAGGAGGGCGGGATTGGAAGACGACCCCAGCCCCTCCCCATGCTCCACTCCCACCCCGACACCCACACACGCACAAAGAGTTTCTGGAAGTTCCCTGCCGTGGACACATCGGCCCTACCTGTAGTCGGGAGCTGTGCCTGCAGGATCATCGCAGTGACAAGGGCATTCCACTTCATTTTGTCCTTCCCCTCAGAAAGAGGCTGGGAGGCAGAGGCTGAAGCAGTGGTGGCCGGGACGATGAAGAGGAAAAGAGTCTCCGCTGGCTTTATTCGCCTGCTGCCTCCCCAGGAAGTGGAGGACTGTGGGGCCTTTGGGAAGCCACCTGCGATGAGGCCAAGAAACTCGCGCTCCGCCTTTCGGTTCACAGGCAGGAAGCCCTGGAGGTCTGAGGGTTTGGGGCGTGTCTATGTATGTGTCTGTATCTGTCTCTCTGAATTTTGCTTTTTCTCTCATTTGACCATTGTTTTAATGTTTTGGTTTTTTTTTAAATCATTCTTATCCGAAATCTATCTTGATTGATAAAGTCTGTCTCTAGGCAAATATAAGTTCTCAATGGATATAAGAACGTTTGCCCTTTTCCTAGACCCTCAAATATTGTATGGAAGTTGGTAAAATGCCAAAGCCCTGGATTGAAAGTCAGGCGATGTAGAGACAGATGCCTTGGGCTTTAGTGATATCTCTACCACCTACTTGCTGTGTGGGCTTCAGTCAGTCACTCAGCATCTCTAGACTTCAGCTTTCTGATCTATAAAGCGAAGAGCTGGAGTAGACCTGGGGTTGCAGATCTGAACTTGGCCTGAATTTGGATCGTAGAATAGTTTGAAATACTGTAGCTCACATAGTATTTTTGACATTTTTGTTAGTTGTCAACATTTAAACATCAGAGTAATGCACAATAATAAAACATTAAAACCTAGATATAAACTTCATCTAAAAATTGTAATGTGTCTATATGAAACAACTTAAAAACGTTGCTGAAGAACACTGAAAGGTCTTAATGGAAAGGCATACCCTTCTTTGATAAAAAGCTCCCTTTTAAGGAGACTGCAATTCTCCCTTAATTAATCAATTGATTTCATTGAAAATGCCAACAGAAGGTTTTAGAACAAGATAAGCTGATTCCAAAATAGATATGAAAAAAATTAATGTACAAGAATAGCCAAGACTCCAAAGTCACAGCAATCCAATATAAAATCGATAAATTGTACTTCAAAAAGTTTTTGTGCATCAAAGGACACTATGAAGAAAATGAGTTCTGCAAATCACCGAATACCTCTAAGTAATGGAAACAGCATTTCCATCATTGGACTTGGTACCTACTCGGAGTGTAAGTTGGCCCCTCAGGGGGCCTTTGACTTACTCGAGGTCAAAGAGCAAGTAGGTGGTAGGCAGAGCTGTCACTAAAGCCCAAGCAGTCTGTCTCTACATTTAGTCTGAATCCATCAGTGAAGGTTGTCATCGACATGAGGTGCTGACACACTGATGAAGCCTGCATCTACCAAAATGAAGACAAAGTTGCAGAGGCCATCAGGGGGAAATAACAGAAGGAAAAATACAGAGGAAGGATATCTTCTACCATGGAAAGCTGTGGGCTACAAATATGACCCAGAGCTGGTCTGCCCAAGCCTAGGGAGGATGCTGAAGGTCCTCCAGCTAGATTGCGTGGCTCTTTACATCACTGAAATACCCAATACTCCCTTAAGCCAGGAGATGAAATCTATCCTATAGGTGAGAATGGCAAATAGTTACATCACAAGTCAAATCTGTGTGCAACTTGGGAGACTTTGGAGGTATGCAAAGATGCTGGCTTGGTGAAATCCCTCCCAGTATCCAGTTTTAACAGCAGGCCAGCTGGAGTTCATCCTGAGCAACTGAGGACCCAAACCCAGGCCAGTCAGCAACCAGGGTGAGTGCCACCCGTATTTCATCCAGCCAAAACTCTTGAAATTTTGCCAATAACATGACATTGTCATGATTGCCTATAGCCCTTTGGGGACCACTAGGAATACAACCTGGGTGAGTATGTCTTCTCTACCTTTGTTAAAGGATGCACTTCTAAAAAGGTGCAATAAGATGATAGCTCAAGCTGTTTTGCATTTCAACATCCAGCAAGGGGTAGTTGCCATTCCTAAAAGCTTCAATCCTGAAAGGATCAAGGAAAACCTTCAGGTCTTTGACTTTTCTGCACTAAATGAAGGACATTGAAACCTGGAATAAAATGTCCACTTCATGGAAATGCTTACGTGCTGTGATCATCCCAAATACCCATGTGTTGATGAATACTGACTTCAGGGAGTTCTTGAGAAGATTCTTCCCTCCCATGTGTGGAGGACCTTGGGGTGCATAGTTCCCCATGGACATGGAAATGAAAGAGGTTTTATTATCTTCAAAGTGGTGATGGAAACATGCTTAACTTTTGTGTAGTGTAAATGACTTTGACTCACCCATTTTAAAAAATAATGTTTAAATCTGTTGAAATAATTCTTAGGAAATTATGACCTAATATTTTATTAGATAAATGTGTCTTCTGGGTTCTTGACCAAAAAAAAAAAAAAAAAAAAATTCCATTAGTCTCCAGAAAAGACTTGAAAGGCAGCAGTGACAAGTAACTCATGAATATGGGTAGTTCCATTGGTAGTCTGAGTTCTTTAGTAGGTCAGCAAAGACAGCAGAGGGCCCCCATGGGCCAGGATGCTGGCAGTGGCCTTGAGGACTTGAACCACTGACTGCAATACAGACGCAGCCAAGATAAGACCAGACATGCATTATTAACAAGAAAGTGATTTGCTGCACCTTGAGTAAGGAGAGAGCTAAGTGTAGAAAAGTCTTAAAATAGTCAGTTAAACACCACGGTGATCAACAAAGCCATAATGATCTGTTGTTGTTTGTTTCTATCTAATGATTTAGCTTTTACTCAGCTTGAAGGATGCATACTGGCTGGTTCTCTTTTGTATTCTCAAAGGGTCTGAGTTTCAACATAACTAGTGGTCCACACTTGCATTGTCTTACATTCAGTCTTGCCACGTTGATCATAGAACCACCATAATGTGAAGTGGCTTGAAACAACCAACATACATAAATAAAACTCTGCATCATAAAGTATTCCAAAGATGGCTATTGTAAAAGAGGACATTTTATCAGAAGATTGTATGAGACATATGGAAAGAAGAGGCTTTATAAAATTACTATGCTTAAGGCTGTAAGAGTGTTATTGGGATAGCTATGCGAATTTTGAGAAATAGGAAGTTCAAAAGAATACCGGTAATTTTACTGTATGCAAATTTTTAAAGAGAATAAAATTATTAGAACTCAGCAGCAGAGATGTACCTATTTTCAGTTCAACTACAGAAATATATTGTATTCATTTATGTTGGATCACTCTCACAGGGTAAGAGAGTTCTTCAAAAATTATGCTTTTCCAAAACTGATTGCTTACAGTAATCTTCAATTACCTGTGCACGTACATTTCTGAGAAAGTATGACTTAAAAACTTAATCTACACTGATTGTTTTCACTGATTCTGATGTTAATACTTACAATGCCTGTCTTCTAGAAAATATTTTGGTCACAAGAAATTATAAAGTATGATGACAAAGAAAGGCAAAAGAAAGAAAGAACAAGGAAAGTGAAAAGACAATCCAACCCACAGAATGAAAGAAAGTATTTGTAAATAGACTGATAAAGGTCTAGGATTCAGAATATATAAATAACCCGTATGACTCAACAATAAAAAACATTACCCAATTAAAAATTGATCAAGATTTAAATAGACTTTTCTCTAAAGAAGACATACAAATGGCCAATTAGCACATGAAAAGATGTACAACATCATTAGTCATTAGGGAAATACACATCAAAACCGCACTGAGACACCACTTCTCACCCACTAGGATAGCTAAAATAAGAAAGACAGACAATACAAGTGTTGATAAGGATGTGGAGAAACTGGAATTCTCATACACTGCTTGTGGGTTACATAAATGCTGAAGCCCTTGTGAAAAACAATTTGGGAGTTAAAAAGTTAAACATAGTATCGTGGGACCCAGCAATTCTACCCTAGGTATATACACCCAAGAGAATCGAAAACATAGGCTCACACAAAAACTAGTAAAGGAGTGTTCATAGCAGCATTATTCATAATAGCCCTAAACTGGAAATAATTCAAATGGCCACAACTAAGGAATGGATCAACAAATGTGCTATATCCACACAATGAAATATGACTCAAAATATGGCCATCAAAAATAATGAAGCAGTGTTACATGCTGCAACTTGGATGACCCTTGAAAACATTACGCTAAGTGGAAGAAGCCAGGCACAAAAGGTACATATTATATGATTCAGTTATATGAAGTGTCCAGAATAAGCAAACTCATAGAGACAGAAAACAGGTTAGTAGTGGCCAGGGGATGGGGAGAGTGAGGAATTGAGACTAAGTGCGAATAGCTACGAGAATTTCTTTGAGATGATGAAAATGATCTAGAATTGGACAGTGGTGATGGTGTGCAACAGAGTGAATATACTAAAAATTATTGAAGTATAGACTTTAAAAGGATACATTTTATGTTATATGAATTACATCTCGATACAAAAATAATGCTAAAACAAACACAAGAAATAGGAACATTCTTGTAAAGAAGAGTAAAGAGAGTGAAATAACCCTGCCAGATATCATACACTAAAAGGCACACAATTATGATACAGTACTTAGGGTGCTATAGACAAATATATATGGTCAATTCGTTTTCAATAAAGGTACAAAACACTCAGCAGGAAATGGTAGTCATTTCAACAAATGGTGGCAGAACAACTGGATGTCTGTATGAAAAAGAAATATTGACCCTCAGTTCATACCATACACAAAAATTATCCAAAATGGTTCATAGACCTAAGCGTAGAACCCAAAACTATAAAATTTCTGGAATAAAACATAGGAGAAAAATATTTGTGATAAAACACAAAAAGTAAAACCCATAAAAGAAAAAAATTTGTAAACTGGACTTCATCAAAATTAAAAGCTTTTGCTTTAGTTTATCGAAAGACACCATTAGGAAAACGAAAAAAAAAAGCCATCAACTAGGATAAATTATCTGCAAATATGTACATCAGACAGAGGACTTACATCCAGAATATGTAAAGAACTCTTTTAACTCAATAGTAAAGTAATAAATTCAACAAGAAAATGGGCACAAGCTTTGAATGGACAATTCCCAAAAGAAGATAAATGAGTGGCCAATAAGCATGTGAAAAGATGCTAAACATCATTAATGATTAAAGAAAAAAACAAATTAAAACCACAATGAGATACCACCACTTCATTCCTGTTAGTATGGCTAAAATTAAA